ATTCGCCTTGCACGCGGCCGACCCAGGTTCGATTCCCAGCACCCCATATGGTCCCCCGAGCACACCAGGTGTGACCCAAAAAGAAAAAAAAAGTGACAGTCCAGCCGGGTGGGCTGACCTGGGGTTCCCCCCGCCCCCAGCACCATGCAAGGTTCCTCAAGCCACCAGGAGCGATCTCTGCGCATCACTGTGTGTGAAATGAAGCAGAGATGCTGTGGCTGAGGGGGCAGGTGTGGGTGCAGGGCTACTCTCCCGATACAGTTGCTTCTCACGCCCTCCTGGGTCCTGCCCTCACCCCCACTCACCTCCACAACCCAGTTACCAAAACAACCTTCCAGAGCCTTCCAGTCCAAGGGGGACAGAGGGAAACTGAACATCTGCTCAACGCCCGGGTCTCCTTTGCCCACCATCACCCCCAGCCACTCAGGGAGCCATGCAGCAAGTAGTTATTGAGCACCGACTGTGTGCAGGGCCCAGCATGAGACAGGAAGGTTTCAATATTCAGCAAAAGTTGGGGTGCTGGGAGAGAGAGAGACAGAGAGACAGAGAGACAGAGACAGACAGAGAGAAAGTGCGCAAACCCCAGGCCCTCCTGGTTCTTATTTATTTCCTTTTCAACTTTTTGGGTCGCAGCTGGTAGGGTTGGGAGGTGGCTCCTGGCTTAGTGCTCAGGGAGTTCTATGGTGCCAGCATTGAGTCCAGGACCCCCACATGCAGAGCCTAAACTCTAATCCTTTGAGCTGTATTCCCATCCCCAAAGTAATGCTTTTTGTTTTGTTTGTTTTGGGGGGTACACCTGACAGTGTGTAGGCCTTTAGGCCTTCCTCCTAAATCTGTATTCAGGGTTCACAGAACCCCACGCCTTGGCGGTGCTGGGCAACCACATGGGGTGCCCAGCCAGTGCTTTTTAAATCCCTCACAGCACTGATATTGTAGTCGGGAGAATCCGACAAATCAAGCACAGTGAGTGTCTTACTTATTTACTTACTCAGGGAATCACTCATGTCAGGCCATCTTTTGTTTTGTAGCCACATCCCATGGAAAGATTCCTGGCTCTGCGCTCAGGGATCAGCTCCTGGCATTGTCCAGGGGGCCCTCGGGAGTGCTGGGGATTGAACCCGGGTAGGCAGTGTGCAAGGCAGACGCCCTCCCGGCAGGACTATCTCTCCTGCCCCACAAAATTATCTTGGGACTTAATGCCCCCACGGTGAGATACAACTATTTGCACATATTTTCTTCTCCGGAAATTTTTTTTTAATTATTCTGTTAGCCATTTAGGGGTGATGAGCAATAGAAAATAAATTATTGTGGGCCTGCTCCGGGGACAGGCCTGAGGGGGTTAGCTGGGGGAAAGGAGACAGTGGCCAAAGGAAGGGGACAGTAGTGGAGCTGGAATATGAGTGCCTGTAACAGAGCATCAGGATGAAATTTGTGACCCAAAGTCTAAATAAAGTGGGGGGAGGGGGGAGAGACGGTGCAGCCTTGCACACGACTGGGTTCGATCCTCGGCATCCCCCAGGGTCCCCGGAGCTAGGTGTAACCCCTGAGCATCCCTGTGTGTGGCCTCCAAACCAAAACAAATAAATACATAAATAAAAGTGCATGTGTTGGAGGGAAAATAAGAGAAGTCTACCCACAACGCACCGCACCATCAGCCCTGAGCCACGCCCACCGCTAGGCCACGCCCACGTGACGAGGCCACGCCCACTGTGGCGGCCACACCCCTGCGTGAGTGGGGTCAGGAGCAGAGCTGGGCAGTTCCGTGCGGGACCTGACAAACCCTGTGGCCAGGCCAGGCTGCCCAGCCCTGAGGCCCACTACTTTGCCACCCCAGCAAGGGCTCGGGATGCTCCTGATCCGCACCTGTGCGTGAGGCTGCGGGCATTGCCTGCAGGACCCCCCGCCGTGCCCAGCGAGGCCGCGGGGTGGCCACTCCTCGGGGCCTTTCCTGCATGTTTTGAAGCGCCACCAGCTACAGGCGGCCCTGTTTCCCGAGACCCAGGTAACCCAGCGTGGTCCTTTGCACGTGCCTGTGCATCCCGGTTTCCCGAGCGGGTGGGCGGACCCCCCCGGGGGACAGGGTTTTTTCTTTTTAAGTTTTTGTTGGTTTGGGGGGTCACACCCAGCGGGGCTCGGGGCTGACTCCGGGCTCTGCACTCAGGCATTGCTGCTGGCGGGGCCTGAGGGGTCCGGGGTGAACCCGCTCCCGCTGCCCTGGCCTACACCCCGCCCCCCCGCCGCCAGCCAGCCAGCCTCGCCCTGCACGCACGCAGATTCCTGTCACTCCTTCACACGGGGCACTCGGTAACCGGGCGCTGCCCCTGGCTGTCCCCACTCAGGGTGGAATGTTGATGTGGATGTGTGACAGGGAGCCGCTCGGTGCCTGCTTTGTGCGTGCTTGGCCGCCGTGGGGAACAGCACAGCTCGTCCCGGGGAAGACAGGATCGATGCCTCAGCCCCTTGACAGAAATTTATCACTCCTCCACAGCCGACCCCGGGACTGGAGCAGAGCAGACGTCCTCGGGGACCCTGCCGTCCACGGAGGCGCTGGAATCTCCTTCACTTAACGAGCCTATCAGGACTTTGATGAAAAGATCCCCTCCTCGCCCGTTCCGTTCCCCTGGTGGTAAACAGCAGGGCGGAATGCAAACCCAAGCGCCCCGATCCCAGCCGTCTCAGTAACCGGCCAGGCCTTGGCCACGGTGGACAGTGAGCTGGAGGCGAGCAAGAGGCAGCCCACGCGGCACGGAGGAGACGCGTTCCACGGCCGGGCCGTGTGAACAAAGGGATGAAAGGCGGAGCGGAGAGAGGGATGGAGACAGCGCGCGAAGCGGGCGCTGGCTGGACAGGGGTGACGGATGGAGGGATGGGTGGGGGTGGGGCGGGAGAAGGGAGGGGTGGAAGGAGAGAAGGAAAGGAAATGGTGGATAATGGACAGAGGGAGAAATGAATGGGAAGAAATGCAGGGGTGGGGCGGACTACTAGCACAGAGGAGAAGGTGCTTGCCCTGCAACAGGGCTGACCTGGGTTCAATGCCCAGCACCCCATAGAGCCCCCTGAACACAGCCGGGTGGGGGCCCCGAAAACTAAGAAAGAACTGGATGGGTATGTGGGGGGAGAGGATGCATAGATGGTTAGGCGGATGGGTGAGTGAATGGACGGATAATGGGCAGGTGGAGAATGAATGAATGGTGAGAAACGGATGCATGTGTGGGCGGATGGAGAGGTAGGATGGACGCATGCGCAGTGGATGGATGGGCGCTGGCTGGCGGATCAGTTTACCCACTGCATCTTGTTCTCCATTGGTACACATGGAAACTGGCTAGCTCTGACAGCAAGGCCCACGGCCAGAGTGGTGCCAGCATAGACGGAGCTATTCTGGAGCACCCCGCATGTCGCAGGCCCCCGTCCAGGTCCCACCCGGAGCCTCTGGGGCCCTCCACAGAGCCCTTTGGCGAGGGGTGATGAGGGGACAGTGAGAAGCGTGCAACAGAGATGGGCCCCAGGCAGCTGTCAGGAGAGGCAGGCAGGATGGAGACAGGCCACTTGGCTGCCAGTGCAACTGCGCGCGTACACACACACACACACACACACACACACACACACTTAGGGTGCATCTACACATACACCCCAGCAGAGCCACAGAACCCGTCAGGCCATGCACACACTGAATGTTTGCACACATGGTTTCCTACGGGCACAGACACGCACACACAGGGTCCTGCCTCCCCAGGCGCACATTCCCAGACACCATCCAGTTTTGCATGCCATCTGCTGCACGCAGCCTGTGCATCCAGCCACAGCCTGGCAGGCCTGGGGTGCGGCGGGCAGGAAACGGGTCCGTGTGTGTGTGTGTGTCTGTGTTGGATACACCAATACAGACACACACACACATGCCCTGCCCAGAAGGCTACGTAAAAACTCAAGTTTTCGAAAGCTGGGTGGACACACACAAACGGGCAGACACCCATCACACCCACACACCATGCTCTGCCCACCAGGCCCAAGGGACACGCCCACTCGTTCTGGCCACACTCCATGGGTTCTCCAGTGCCAGAGCCCAGGTGCCCATCACCTGGCCACGGGCACGGGAGACACACCAGGCCAGCCACAGAAAGACACTTCCCAACACTGTTGTCACGTCTGAAAGAGGTTCTCAAATGTCCAGCCCTGGCACCTGTCACCGCAGACACACACAGACACACACAGACACACACAGACACACACACACATGCAGACACTGATCACCTTTGAAAGCAAAGACCTCTCCCCTTTGGGGGTGCCTTGGGAGCTAAGCAGAGCGAGCTGGGGAAGTTGGGGGGCAAGGTGCAGGCGAGGCAGCCTAGTGCACCCCAGATCCAGTGTTGGGGATCCTAGGAAGGAGGGGGGACCCCAGGAGTCCCGCAGCCCAAACTTCGGAGGCCAGGGCGGGAAGCTGGAGTGGGGAGGCCAGGATGTGCGAGGTTGGGGGCAGCTCAGCCTTTGCCAAAGCCCCGACCCTCTTGCCTTCAACCAAGGGGATTTTTTTTTTTGGTCGGGGGGGCTACACATTCTGCACTGGTGTGGTGCAGGGCAGAGAGAAAGTGGTGCTGGGAATGGATCCCAAGTCAGAGACGCGGACAGACCGGGAGAGCCCCAGAGCCCCGGGGGGGAGAGCGACTGGAGGGGGGAAGTCGGGGTGCGCGTTGATCCAGACTCAGCGCGCCAGAAGGTGGGGACCCCAGACGCCCCCTGTCGGCGCCGGTTCCCGCCACTGGTGGCCCCAGTCCAGCCTTCCGCCCCACCGGCTCCGCAGCCCTGGGAACCCCGCTCGCTCCCCCGGCAGTGCGAACCGGCCCGGGGCGACCCCTGCTGCAGCGGCGCCCGGTCCCGGCCCGGCGGGGCGCGGAGTGCAGGGCGGGCGCCCCTCGGGGCTGCGGCGGCGGCGCCGGCGCGCGGGGAGACCCCACCACGCCCCCCGCCCGCGGCCCCCCGGCGCCCCCGGCGCGGGGGCCACTCACGATCTTCTCGGAGGCGCCGGCGCGGGACACGGTGCCGTTGAGCCCAACGAGCGAGGGCAGCGTCTGCGACATCCAGTTGGTGACCATGGCCATGGTGCTGAGCACCGCGCCGATCTTGAGCAGCGGCACCGACATCGCGGCCCCGCATGCCCCGCGCCCCGCGCTGCTCCGCCGAGCCCCGCCGACCCCCGGGACGGGCGCGCGCTGGGGCCGGCCGGGGGCGCTCGGGACGCGGCTGCGGCTCCGGCTCGGGCTCCGCTCAGAGCGCGCCGCGCGGCCCCGCACCGCGCCCGCACCGCCCCCCGCGCGGCACTTCCAGCCGTGACGTCACGCCCCGGCCCCGCGGGGCGCGGGGGCCGCGCGGGCCGATCCCCCCGCGGCCGGGAACCCCACCTGCCCCGCCGCCGCCGCGGCATCCCCAGCCCCGCCCCCAGCGCGGTCCCCGCTCCCCCGCTGCACCCCAAAGGTGTCTCCGGGACCCCTGCTGCACCCCAAGGGTGTTTTAGGGGCCTCTCCCTGCGCCCTGGTGCTCCAGGACCCCCACTGCACCCCAAAGGTGTCTCCGCTCTCCCACTGCATCCCAAAGGTATTCCCGGGCCCCCACTGCGCCCCCAAAGGTGTTTCCAGGACCCCTACTGCACCCCAAAGGTGTTTTAGGGGCCTCTCCCTGCGCCCTGGTGCTCCAGGACCCCCACTGCACCCCAAAGGTGTTTCCGTGACCCCTACTGCACCCCAAAGGTATCTCCACTCTCCACTGCACCCCAAAGGTGTTTCCGGGACCCACACTGCACCCCAAAGGTGTTTCCGTGACCCCTACTGCACCCCGAAGGTATCTCCGCTCTCCATTGCACCCCAAAGGTGTTTCCAGGACCCCTACTGCACCCCAAAGGTGTTTTAGGGGCCTCTCCCTGCGCCCTGGTGCTCCAGGACCCCCACTGCACCCCCAAAGTTGTCTTCACTCTCCCACTGCACCCCAAAGGTATTCCTGGCCCCGCACTGCAACCCCCAGAGATATGTTCAGGACCCCCACTGCGCTCCAGTGTTCCAGGGTCCCCCACTGTGTCCCAAAGGTGTCCCTGCTCTCCCATTGCAGCCCAAAGGCATTCCCCGAGGCTCCCCCAACTGCACCCCAACAGTGCTCCGGCGGGGGGACTTCGGTGCGCAGCCCCTCCTGCAGCGCCCCACCCACTGGGACTCCCGACTCCCCAAAGCGGGCGGACGGGACGGTCGAGGGGAAGGGGGGGGACCCTGGTTCTGTGAAAGCCAGGGGTGTTCCCAGGACCCTGGCAGCCCGGGGTCTCCTGTGGCTTGGAGAAGGGGGGTCCCGTCAGCAGGACAGCGACGGGGACTGTCCCCCTTCCCCAGGCGCGGAGTGGCCAACCCGGCGCCGCACGGGGCGCAGGGCGGGGGGCTCCCCTGGCACACGGAGGGGCCTTTGCCCGTGCTCCGCGGTGAACTCGAACTTGGGGTTGCAGGGGAGGCGGGGCCGGAGCCCTGGCGACACGCCGGGAGCCCCCCCCCCCCCCCCCCCCCCCGCTGCGCCTGCAGCCGGGTCCGCGGCGGGTTTTAATTTCCTCCCGATTCCCGGCGCTCGCGCTCACGCCCCCTCCCGGCGTCCCCGCGTCACCTCGGCCGCCGCCGCCCGCCGGGGCCGCCGCCGCCGCCGCCGTCTGGAGGAGTCGATGACTCAGGCCTTTCCCGGCCTGGCCTGCGCCCGGCGCCCACCGCGGGGCCAGGGTCCCCGACTCTCCGTCACTCCTGAGCCCGGCACCCCGGTCCGGCCCCGCGTGCCCCGCAGCCCAGCGCTCTCGCCGCCTCCTTTTCCTCTGCCAAGTGGGGTGGTTGTGGATAGCCTGGGGGTCCTGGGGGCCCACGGGAGAGATGATCGAGTAGCCCCCCAAGACCAGTGGTGGGGGCGGGGCAGGCAGCAGGGAGACTAGGGAGGGCAGCTCAGGCTTTGCGTGCTTGAGCCCGGGTTCTACCCCTGATACTGCATGGCCCCCCAGCATTACAGGAAGCGTCCCCCAAATAAAATGGAAGGTCAGAAACCAGGACAGTGCAGGCAGGTGGCAGTGGAGTGGGCACCCCAGGGAGTAGGGGCTGAGGGGCTAGGCAATGGGCAGAACCAGTGCAAAGGTCCTGGGGTGGGAGGCGGGAGGAGGGGTTGGTGTGCCGGGTGCAGAGGGAGCTATGGGGAGAGCAGGGAAGGGGCCAGTGATAGGACAGGGGGAGGGCGCTGGCCTTGCACACGGCCAAGCCTGGTTCAATACCTGGCATCCCATAGGGTCCCCCTGAGCACCGCCAGGACTGATCCCTGAGCACAAAGCCAAGAGTAAGCAGGTGATGTGTCTCCCCCTGCCAAAACGAAAATGTGTGAGTGTGTGGTGTGTGTGGTGTGGTGTGTGTGTGTGTGTGTGTGTGTGTGTGTGTGTGTGTGTGTGGAGTCTGGGGAAGGGGAAGATACGGTGCTTGTCCATCCCAAGCTGGGATGGAAAACGTTCCATTCCTCAGAGCTGCACTGGCGGAACTTCACTGCAGCTTGTGTTTCCGAGGTTTGAGCTCTTTGCTGAGAAACCCCCAGAGAAAAGAGGGAACCCGCCCCAGGGCAATGTGGGGGCAGGATTTGAACCAGAGACTCGAGATTCTGCCCGCCCCACCATTGGCAGCTCTCCCCCCACCCCCCAAACCCTGTCCCAGAGCTTCTCCACACTCACTCTAGGACTCACCCTCTCACCCCCACCCCCGACCTTCCCTCCAACCAGCCCTGTCTCTCCCATACCCCCCTTTCCTCCTTGGGCGTCACTGGCCTCCTGCTTTTGGAAAGACCCTGTCATTTTCCAGTCCTGCCCTGCTTGCTTTCTCCTGCCTGGGCACACAGTCACTCGCACCCCCTGCCTTCTTTGAGGGTCCCAAGCCCCCCAAATGCTGCACATGGTACCCGGTCTGTCATCCCCACTTGCATCCAGTTCACACCACCCCAGGACCTTTGCACCTGCTGCCTCTCCTTTCCAGCACTCTGACCTCAGGAACGTTGACTTCCTTGACTCCTCTCCCCCCACACCCCGCTCTTCTCCCCCTCTCCCTCTGAACCTTTCCACTCTATTTTTATTTTGGGTGCTCAGGGCTCCCCTAGATGCTTCCATCAACTTGGCTTCTCAGCTGCCCCATGGTGCATCTGAGCAAGCCCCTGCCCAAGTGTCCCGGCTCCGGGCACCCCGCCCATGTTTCTTCCCGGAAGGGACTCTGAGATTGACAGCTGGGCTCCGAATCTGCAGAACCGGCTTCCCCGGCCCCCACGCGGTCCCGGCAGCCGTCCCCTCCCTCGCTGCCCTTTATTCCCTCTATTCGGTGGCTGGAGGTCTGGGGGCCACGCCAGGGTCCTGGTCCTTGCTCTGAGCTCACGAGTGCCGCTTAGCGGCGGGATGGACTCGGCGTGGCTCCTCCCCTCCTGAGTTCGCTCTCCCGTCCCTGGCGGTGCTGGGGAACCTGGGGGGTGCTCGGGAATCAAACCTGGATCTGCCGCGTGCACCGCGAGTGCCATCCCGCTGTACTCTTGCTCTGCTCCCCCATTTTTTTAAACAACCTTTATCGTGTGACATCCTGTTGTGTTTCATTTGTTCCCACTAGGCTTTTTGGGTCTCCCCCCCACCCCACCCCCGCAATGCTCAGGGGTTACTCCTGGCTCTGCATTCAGGAATCACTCCTGGAGGTGCTCAAGGGGGACCATGTGGGATGCCAGGGATGGAACCCGGGTTGGTCGCGGGCAAGGCAAAGGCCCTACCTACTGTACTATCTTTCCAGCCCCTAGGACTGTCACTGTCACTGTTGTGCCATTGGTCACTGATTTGCTCGAGCGGGCCCAGTAACATTGTGAGACTTGTTACTGTGTTTGGCAAATCGAATACATCATGAGGAGCTTGCCAGGCCTTGCTGTGCGGGCGTGATATTCTCGGTAGCTTGCTGGGCTCTCCGAGAGGGGCGGAGGAATCGAACTCGGGTAGGCCTAGTCGGCTGCGTGCAAGGCAAATGCACTACCTGCTGTGCTATCGCTCCAGCCCTGCCCCTAGGACATTTTTTTAAAATAACAACAAAGTCTCCAATGGAGACGTTACTGGGCCCGCTCGAGCAAATCGACGATCAACGGGAGGGCCTTTACCTTTACCTAATAATTTATTAATTTAGGAGAGGGGATGTTTGGGCCACACCGAGCAGTGCTCAAGGCTGACTCCTGGCTCTGCGCTCAAGGATCACTCTTGGAGGGGATCAGGGAGACCCTGCAGGACGCGGGGAATCGAATCCCATTTGGCCATGTGCAAGGCATCTCTCTCCTGCTGTCCTATCACTCTGGGCCTTGTCAGAGGCCGCGTGAGACTGTGCCCCCTCCCCTTCAGAAGGTCTTTTCCCTCTGAGACTAGTTTCCTGGGCTATGTGAAAATTCTTAGGCTCGGTGGGGTGCCCACCTGTTTACTGTGCTTGTTTCTGTCCTGTTGGGGTCCAATCCCCAGAGACCCTGAGAGCTAGTACCCAGGAGTGCTGACCGAGGTCTCCTTGGGGGGTATTAGCCATGGCAGCTCCCCACATCTGAGGTTTTCCTGGTGTGTGTGCTGGCAGGGAGGGGTGCGGCTGGCGGTTTCATTGGTCGAAGGAGACTCACTTGCCTGCCTTTTTCTGTTTGTTTGTTTTTGGGGGGGTCACACGCTGCGATGCTCAGGGGTTCCTCCTGGCTCTGCACTCAGGAATTACTCCTGGCGGTGCTCGGGGGACCCTGTGGGATTGAACCCGGGTCGGCCATGTGCAAGGCAAACGCCCTCCCCGCTGTGCTATCGCTCCGGCCCCTTGCTTGTCTGCCTTTTGTCCTCCTCCTGCACCCACTACCCATAGTTCCGAGGCCCCTTCAGACGCCCAGCTCCAGTCTTAGGGATTTAGCTGTTTGCATTGTGTGTCTACACAGATTTTTAATGGTGGGAGTTCTAACTCCTTAAGGAATGCTATAGTTCGAAGAGGTTTGTTGGTTTGGTTTTGGGGTCACACTCAGCAGTGCTCAGGGCTGACTCCTGGCTCTGTGCCAGGGAATTCTGGGGGGTGCCGGGGATCGAACCTGATCCAGCCCCATTCAAGGCACGTGCCCTGCCCGCTGTGCCATTTCTTTCTGCCTCCAGTGACGGCGGTTTCCACATACACGTCTCTGTCTCCCCTGCTGAACTTATTTCTGGTTACTTCTCGTTTAAAATCAGGAATGGGAGAGTAGAACCACAGTAGAGTGGGGAGGGTGCTTG